TTTTTTTTTTTTTTTTTTTTTTTTTGTCTTCAATTTCATCTAGTGGGAAACAGAGCACCCTTCAATGCACAGAAAAGACTTTTTCTAACAGTCCCAACAAACGCCCAACATTTCTCCAAAAAAAAAGAAAAAGAAAAAGAAAAAAAGAATTAGAGCATATGGAACATGCTTGGTAAGTATGATTCTGAGATGTCACTAAACAACAAGAGACACTAAATGTTGGGGGGGGTCTCGTACCCACATTCGCAAGCATGCATACAACAACTCATAAAAGCCAAAAGAGACAACCCCATGCATAATTCATGGACCCCCCCCACCGCCCCGATTAAAAAAAAAAAAAGAAAAAAAGAAAAAGAAGCCAATTCAATATCTACTTTACAATTTCACTCTCAAACGGGCATGGATATGGTTACTATGACACATAATAATGTTATAGTCACACAAACTTTAAACATTGTTTAAAAAAAAACAATTGATTTTTTGTTAATTTAATTATTAAAAAAATTAATAATTATAACTATTAATTGATAAAACAATTAATATTTTTAAGTTAACATTGAAAATTTTATTTACAAATTAATATTTTAACACACCATAACTATTTGTGTGAATCTAACAAATATTATCTATGAGAATAACTACAACAACAACAAACATTAGTAAAACCCAGGAACTTCATCAAGTTTGATTTTATAACAATATAAATAAGCTTATATACATTGAAAACAAAACTAAAATTTGACTCGAAATGGCTACTTTCACTTGATCGAGCATATCAATGTTCTAGTCTTTGGGATTTATACAACATTAACAGACTCACCTCCATAAGTTCAGATCACCTCAAACTACTACCACACTACATACTAACAACAAAAAATACAAGAATATGGTACAGAGCTTGCACTCCTGGGAACCTTAAAATTTCCCAGAGACCTAAGTATCGCTGACCATGAAAATTTCCAGAGACTAAATTAAGTATCTTTGACCATGAAACACAGCTTCTATGACCATGAGAAGCTCTTCCAAATGCTTGATTGGATGAAGCTCTGCTCTGGCTCTATTTTCACTATCGACCCTCACCACCAACTTTGGATATCAAGGCCATCTTGAGCTGCTCCTGTGTGTACACCCGACTCACCATCTTCACATTAGCTTGTTGTATCATCAAATCATTCACCACTGATACACTAGCATGATTAACCTCAAGATCTAGCTCCCTCAATGCTGCCATCAGCCTTGCTGCAGGATGGTTGGATTTACTGCACTGGATTCGGATCATAGCATCCCATTGGATTATCTTCACATCAATGTCCATGTCTATATACTTGCTTCCATTGCTTGACATCTTGAGCTCATGATCAGGTGGCTGTGATGACCGTGAATTTTTGTTAGACAATTCCTTCTTCGTGGCATCCAATTGCCTCTGCAGCTCCTCCTTCTCTGCCTCTGCGCTTTGAAGCTTTCCTCTGAGCTCCTTAATATATGAAATGGCATCACCAAGTAAAGATGCTTTGTCCATCTTGGACACATTAGGAACCTCAGCACGCAGTGCATAGAATCTCTGGTTAAGTTTCTCTCTTCTTTGACGCTCTGCTTCAACATGATTCAATGGCTCTTCTCTACCATTTGCAGGTTTTCTTCCCCGTTTTCGTGGCCTCTTTTCAGTTTCGACAACTCTGCTGCTATCAGCGTCCTTGACTACAGAAGCTTCGAGATCAGAATGGTCTGAATCACCAGCTCCACCGCTTGATTTCACCCCAGAAGATGGTAAGACGACAGCAGAACCCGAAGTAAAAGAGAGCATCCCTTCTTCATTGCTCCCTCTTGATGTTGGTGACCTCTTCTTCTTATTCTCCTCAACCAAAAGCTGAGAATTGCCAGAAAACAAGTTCCCGTTCCCATTCCCATTCCCACTACAGGAACTCCTTTTACTCTCACCGAAACTCAGTATCTCTCCAGACTCCGGCTTCAAGAAATGAGAATTCCCATTCCTCACGCTGCTCCCTTCAAACCCATACTCGGAGAAATTTAGGCAAAAACTCTGATTCTGATGCTGGGGCTGATGATTTTGAACATGAATGGAACTAGGAGTCTCAGTTAAAGAACTGGAACTGGGATTATCAAACTGAATCGTCTTGGAGACTTGCTGATTCTGAACGCTAGGATTACTGTTACTACTATTTAACCCAGAACCAGGAGCAATTCCAATGTTATTGTTCTCCTTGATTTCAATTCCATTTGTGGGATCGTTTATCCAGAGGGAAGAAGGATCGTTTTCACCCTGATCCGGATTCGTGCTCATCGACCACCTACTGGCATCCATACCATTATTGAAATTAAACAGCACACGAACCTTATTCATCAGATCAGAGCTCTGCAGGATCAGCTCCGTAGACCCCAATTCAACAACCCCATTCGCCGACGGTATGCACACCATCGTTTGCAGCCCGAACACCTGCCCTTGCCTAGCCCGCTCACACGACGAACACGCCAGCCGCTCCATCCCGGCGACCCATACGGGGCTAGAATTGAAGAACGCCTCACCGGGCAACCCACTTCCGTTGACGAAAGACTGCGTCATAGAAACCAGAAAGAACCACTCGGTGTCGGTAACCTCCTCGTCGACGGCATCGTCGGTGGGGGCTGAAGGGCCAGAAATCAATGAATTAAGCTCTCGGAGAACTTTCTTACGGTGATCCTGCTCGGCAGCTGACGATGACGTCTTCAACTTCCGTTTCCCTTTATCTTCCTCCCCTTTATAATACCCATCTCCCCACCCAAGAACAGCAGCTCCGGGGTATTCATAAGACGACTGCCAGAAAATCGCGTAGGTCCAGCTCTCGCGAGCGCCCTCAATCAGAACCTGAAGCCGCTGCTGGAGGGTCTCCTGGTTAAAAGGCGGGACCTGCGGCTGCGATTGGGCCAGGGCCTTAGATGGGTCGGGTATTGGTGGGGTGGAGGTGGATGCAGAAGACTGTGAAGGCGGCCACAGACCAGTAAGATCGGAGCTCATGAAAGCCTCCATGACCGATCCGTTGTCGTCTGTCCAAAGATTCATGGGCATGGGCGGCGGCAGTCGATAGTCCGTCATGAGAAAGAAAATTCTCAACAACCCAGTAGTTGAAGTGGTCGGAAAAAAGACAGGGAAAAGTGAGGGGTAAGAGTAGGGGAAGAAGAAGAAGAAGAAGAAGAGGAGATGGGGAGAGGATAATTGTGGTGTTGTGGGGGCGACAATTTGGGTTGGATTTGATTTGGGGTTTGTGATTTATTTGAAGCGAATTTGAGCTGAATTTTGGAAGGAAA